ATTTATATTGATGACATTATTATTTTTAGCACTGAATGGAATGACCACCTTGAAAAATTGAAAATTGTTCTAGAAAGAGTTATCAAAATGAATATGAAAATCTCTATGAACAAGTGTCAATTTGGTTTTCAAGAACTCAAGGCATTAGGCCATATTGTTTCAGGATTAAGTATAGCTATTGATAAAAATAAAGTAGCAGCAGTAATGTTGAAACCTATGCCCACTAATGTTAAAGAAATACAGTCATTCCTTGGTTTTGCTAGTTATTACAGACAACATATAAAAGATTTTGCCAAAGTAACTGGATGTCTATATAAATTAAGTAGCCCAAACACCTCCTTTGAGATGACAGTAGACAGAGTAGCTGCATTCAATAAATTACGTGAACTACTTACTTCTGCTCCCATATTATTTATGCCTAACCCAAATAAGCCTTATAAATTATATGTAGATGCTAGTATGGAAGGATTAGGAGCTGCCTTACACCAAATTCAAGATCAAGAAATACCAAAAGAAGGAGTCATTTGTTATATTTCTAGAACTTTGAAAGACAGTGAGAAAAAATACCGTGCCAGCCAACTTGAATGCTTATGTTTAGTCTGGGCCCTAGATAAATTATATTATTACCTTGATGGATGTGAATTTGAAGTCATTACTGATTGTACAGCCCTCAAAAGTTTATTAAGTATGAAAACTCCAAATAGACACATGCTCAGATGGCAAATAGCTATTCAAGAATGGAGAGGAAGTATGACTATTAAACATAGAGAAGGTAATATACATAAAAATGCTGATGGACTTAGTAGATGGTCATTGGAAAATATACCAGATAACCCAGCCTGCTAAAATCATGTGTTTATTTCCAGAGGAAAATAATGAGGATAATCCTGCCTTTGATGATAACACTGATGATATTAATATTTGTGGGTTACATGTAACAGAAATGCAAGAAGAATTTTGGGATGAAATTAGAATTAGTTATGACCAAAATAAAAATTGCTCCACAATTAAAAATATCTTACAAAGTAATTTCAAAAATAAGGATCTGATAAATTCATTGGAAGAACCATGGCTTAGTTCATTTAAAGAAAATAGATTCTCTCTATTAGATGGATTAATTTACCACAGAATTAAACATACAAGTGTAGTAGTTATTTGTTTAAAAGAACACATTAATTTATTTTTGAAAGAATGCCACGACAATATCTCTTCAGCTCATTTTTCCTTTGACAGAACAATTGAGAGAGTTAAACAAATTGCTTGGTGGCCTAAT